AAAATATACTTTATTAGAGAGTCCAAATTACTTAGACACATATTGTTCATTAGTTCCTAATAGTTTGAAAGTGTAAAGATGATTAAATATGCCAGCACAGATGGATAAATTTTAAAATTCTGAAATAAAGGAAAACATTTTGACATGAGATACAGTAAGTCATTGTTTAAAAGAGCTTCTAATTTACTTGGCCATTTGGGATAATTACATTTGGGATATAAATGGTATTTTGACCTCAACACAATTTTTGATTAATCCTTTTAAAATAATTTATATTCTCACAAGGGAGAGAAAAAAATTTTTATAGAAAAGAATAAAATATTAACATCTTTATTATCTGCATAAAATAATATAACTCATACTATATTAACTAATAGTTGGGTTAATTGTGGTTTGCTACATAAATCAAATTTGTTGTGTTTACATAGCATGCTAAACTTTCAGCTCACACATCAATGGGCTAAGATCATACAATATGGTAAATGCCAAATAAACAAACCATATTCTCTCTTAAGAGCTTATGTGACTCAGATCACAGATGGGGGGGGGACATGAAGAGAGTATGGTGGAGTGGTTAAAGTGTCAGGCTCAAAGCAAAAAGACTTCCCTCAGCTATGGAACCATGTTGGGGACTTTGGGATACTATTCTCTAATCATTCTCTTCCAACCCCCCCTCCCCTTTTCATTATGGTTTTTCTTGTGGGGACAAATAGGAGGAGAGTGCACTAAATATGCCATCTTGAGCTTCTGAAGGAATGATAAATAATTCAATAAATAAATATATTTTATTTAATGAACAAACCACAGCTTGCTCTATTCACACACTATTTCTTGATTTTGGTTTAAATACATTATGTGAACTCAAACAACTTAAAATAGCTTGTCTTAATTTATGAACTCGGTCTTAGGCATTGCACCCACCTAATCTCATGTAAGACTAGTTCTTCTATGTATATCTGTACCACCATCAGCAGGTATTAATTGAAGGTTAAATGTAAGATAGGAGTCATACATCTTTCTAACCCATGGTTTAACAGTAATATAAGAAGCCACAATTAGAATGGTTCACAGAGTCAAAGATTAATTCAAACCACATCTAGTATGAGCCATACCATTTGTAATTTTTAATTCATTATTAAACAAACCATAGTTTATGATAATGTGCAGAACCACTAAGTGTATTCCCTAGTTCTGTAAAGGGTTTGTTCAGTTTTGGCTCTGTTATATGAATCTGAACACTAACAAGTATATCATGGTTTATGTGAACCATGTCAACTAAAGCATAAACAGTTTGCCCTTGCTATGGCATACATTGGCTCAAGGATGGAAATATTACTTTCAAACTGGTCCAGCTAAAGACACTCGAGACAGGCTCATTAGTGGGTTAAGGGACCAAATGAAGATTCCTTAGGGATTGGCAGCCCCCCCCCCAAAAAAATGCTGATACATTTGTATCTTGATTAGGTGCAAAAGGGAGGGAGCCCATATATACCTTGTGATTGATTACATTAATTACAAATTCAACATCCCTTTCATAAGTGCTCTTGGAAACTGGGTGAGATTTTCTCTTACTTTTTTCTCTTGCATAAAGGACTTTGCATGTATTTGTATTGCTATTAAAGTTCATTTTCAGACCACTTTTCTAATCTTATTTAAGATCAGTTTCAATATTGATACTATCTTCTGGAGTTGTAAGCTCCATTCAGAAGGCTCAAAAAAAAAAAAAAAGCAAAGGCATGCCATTTTGTATCATGTTGGGGAAAACTGCACAGATGTGTCCATGGTAAGTCATGAGGATTTGAGTTTGTCTCAAAGTCAACCAAACTTTTTAACTTCTAAAGTAGTGTAATAAATATTCCTTCCACTTCTATCTACATTCAAATCATTTATGAAAATGTTGAATGGTAAAGGACACAGAGGAAAATCAGATGACACCTCACTCCAGTTTAATAAAGAATTCCTTGAACTCCAGGTCAGCTATAGTTCCAGTTGAATGGGCATCCCGTGCATTTAGGTAAGCTACTGAATCTGAATGTCATGGGGACTTTTGCCCCAAAGTTGCAAATCATCTTCATCTAAAACGTTGTTAGGCAGTACTATATAATAGATGTAGAGGTCTCTGATGCTGAATAATTTATTTTTTGAAAAAATGCAATAAAAAAACATAATACATACTAAACTCAGAAAGGAAAAGGAAAAGAAAGAGAGAATAGTGCAAGAAAAAAGAAAAAGGGAAAATGAAAGAGGAAAAAATAAGAAAAAAAAGAAATATTTAAAGAAGTGACTTCAAATCTTCATTATAAACAAACACACAAACTTAGTAGTTCTTCACCCAGCTTAAGGTTACATGCAAGCATCTGTTTTTCCCACAGCCCACCTCTTTTCCATCTGCAAATCCATCATTAACATTTTACTCCTGATGTCAGCCAAAGGTCCATAAAGGGTTCCCAGAATTTTATAGAAACTAATCTTATTTTAACCTTGGTCAAAAAAAGCAACTTTGCACTCTTCCGCTTGCTTCTAGCAATCTTGATCTTTATCTCATTCAGATGTTGCCATAGAATTTTATCTTTCTTTATCCATCTATCTGTTTGGTTTTTCTTTTTCCAATCCCAAGGGTTCTTTGAGAATTTAGCAAACCTTTTTTATAAATCCAGTAAGATGTCATTAGATCATTTCTCTTTGTAATTATCATTATTTCTACTATCATCTCTGTCTTATAATCCACACTTTTTTATTTTCCAGTATTTCAACAATTTATTTAAATTCTAGTATTTTTGCATGAGGTTAGGTTTGTTTCAGCTCTTTATTCTATAGCTCAGGGGTCCCCCACAGCATGCCAGCAATCGGCGGCAGAAACAAGCAAAGCCCCATCAGCAGGATGCAGGCAGCACACAAAACCACACCCCCTCCAGTCCGTAGAAAAATCTCTCACCATGTAACGGTCCCTGGTGCCCAAAAGGTTGGCGACCTCTGCTGTAGATCTTCCATGATATTATCTTTCACATCTCTCATTACTTAACATCTTTTGGATATTATCTATATTTCTTTCAATTTTTATGCCTGGAAAGGTTAGTCCCCTTTAGTGTCCAATTTCTGAAATTATGAAATCTCAAATTTCTGTTACAACTTAAGGTAGACTAAGCAATTTAGTTCCCACAAAGGTACTGTTTATTTGTCTATTATTATAAATGGTTCATTCATAATGTTCTTGAATTAAAGTCTGAATTAGCTTTTTGTTGTTTGTTTCAAATTCTAACGATTATATTTAATTTTTCTTTCATTCTGGAACTATGTTAAACTCATCAGCTGGCTTTGCAAACTTGTCACTAGGAGTCAAACCTATTTAATTTAAAGCAGAATGATTATCCCTCTACTGAAGGCAATGAAAATAATGTGATGTTTTAAATGGAATTTACTGTTTATATTATACTTTTTAAATGCATTATATTCTTTTTAATTCACCCCGTGAACCATAGTTGTTATGATTTACTATACAGGCAGTGAGAAGCGTGATGGTGAATGCCAGGCACCTATGCTGAGCTTGCTAGAAATAAGGCATGAGCTTGGTCACATCTTAAAGTCTCATTTTTATTAGGGGCTAAGCTGTTGTGGATAACAGCCCACTTACATATGTCTTGCAAAATGCTTTGAACCATATTAGATGTGACTCCTCTTTTTTTTTTCAGCTGAATCGGCAACTTAAAAACATGACAGAGCTATGTCAGCCTCTGATGATGGGTGAGTCAGAACCCAGCGGAGTTCATAAAGCAGAATCTCCTACTTCCAGTAGCTGAATGGCATCAGAATGCATGATGTTCCCTGCTGGTTCAAACCAAAGGCCAGTCTGGCCAGAATTTCCTGCTGGCTCAAAGCTGCATCTCACATTTTTAAAAAAAGAATCATACTGCAAACACTCAGAGTTCCAAATTACTGATGGACAAAGTGAAAATAGTGGCTCCCTATTTGAATAGCTGCATAAACAAACACATTAATTTCATGCGGTTCTGTTGATCCTGCCATTGCATTGTAAAATACCCAGAACTGTACGAGGCAGTGATGGTGAACCTTTTAGAGAAGGAGTGCCCAAACTGCAACCCAAAACCCACTTATGCATTGTCAGGTGCCAGGTGGGCGTGACCCATTGGCTGGGCGTGACCCATTGGCTGGGCGTGGCTGCAGTGGTAACGGGAGACTGGGTGGGACTAAAAAGTTCAATCAATCAATTCCAACTTTGCAAGATCTTTTTTTTCCCAGGAGAAGTTGAAATTGACTGATTGAACCTTTTTTTTTTTTGTACAGGGCAAAGGCCTAAAGCGAAAAGGTTTTATAAAACCCAGCTGAAGGCCTAGGACTGGGGCGACGGCACGCGTGCCTACAGAGAGAGGGCTCTGAGTGCCGCCTCTGGCACCCGTGCCATAGGTTCGCCACCACTGGTATGAAGTGACAGACAGACAGGCAGACAGATAGATGATGATAGATGATGATGATGATAAAGATAGACAGACAGGCAGACAACTGTATAAATCAGTTAATTTCATGCAGCTCTGTTGATCCTCCCATTTTAGCAGCAGAAAGAAACAGAGATAAAGGGCAACCTGTTTGTGCAATAAAATAACTTTCTTCTTTCCGGATTACTTCAAGTGAGGCAGTAGATCCAGCCGAGTGACCTGTAATATCTTTTGGAATGCATTGCCACAAGAAGTACTAGGGGATGATTAAACCCATTTACTACTTTTGAAGCATGAGATAACTTCATCTGCCGGTGGCTGTTAATGTGAATGGAGAAAGCCATTCCTGCTGAGGATGAGAGGCTTGTTTTGGAGACAGCGCGAGGACCCCTGGGCCCAATGCAATAGAAAGCCTTTTGTCGTTAACCTAACCTAACCGGGCGCCGCCTTGGGAAGCTACCCGAGAGCTGACGGGCGGGCTTCTAGCGGCGATTGGGACAGGCAAGCCAGCGCCAGGGGGGCGGAGGGGGGGGGGAGAGGGTTGGTATATTGCCGCAGCGGCGGTGGCGGCAGTTCGGCTTCTTTGCTTCAAAGCAGAGCGCGGTGGGAGCAGCAGCGGCGACGCAGTTCCTCAGGCTCAGAATTGGGAGGTCGGGGCTCGTTCGGACGAAGCTCTAGACCCGGGAACGAGGCGACCTCCGAGAGAGACGAACTCAGTCGGATTTGTGCAGCTCGCGCGGCTTCCAGGTTAGGCGTCCCGCGAAACGAGGGTGCCACGCCGGGGTCACGACTGCGAAATCCGTCCGGAGTCGAGAAGGGACTCCAGGCAGGGACGCGATCGTCGCCCCGCGCCTTCCTCGGCTTGCAACGCGCCTCATAAAAGGCTCCGGCGGGGCGCAAGAAGGCGAAGCCGGTAGAAGTGGCGGCTGCGGGGGGCGGGACGCGGAGAAGCCAGTTCGGTTCCGATCGCGGGATGGGGGGGGGGTGCTGAAAAAGTTAACCCTGCAGACCCCCGCTCAACAGCGTCTGGATGGAGTTGCTGAAAGTAGAGGCGCCTGTAATAGCGTGGGGCTGCAGTGCGCGTTCAGTTCACGTCTGAAGGCTACTGAGGACAGATCAGGGACCGGGGGGGGGGGTGCTTATTTGCCGAGTCGATTTTTCGAAAGGAAGAGACAAAGAGAGAGAGAGATTCTAATTCACGTAGTCTCAGAACATTTCGGGCATGGAAAAGGAGAAACTCTTTGCTCGGTCTTTCTTCTTTGGGTATAAGGAGCTCCGGGTGTAATTTTTCTGACCGACCTAATTTTAATTTAAAATAGCTTTGGATGCGTTGTGCATGGGGGAGAGGTAAAGGTTGGCGGTTCGAAGCCAATTATAATCGTCGTGTTGCAAAATTATAACCAGGGATAAGAGGGAACCCCCTCATTGGTATAACGCATGTATTAAAGGAAACCCGCTAGGTTTTTAAAGCATGGGTGTAATTCATTCATTTGGTATCGGTGCGTGCGTAGAGGTATCCAAGTATAATGTTGGGCTGCAATTTAATTCATTGAAAACTTATTGAACTTATTGAAAAGCTTTTTTAAAAGAATAAATTCTGAGATATAGGATACTTCTAAGACATTTTTTCAAAAAGTCTTATGAGTGACGAGGCGTCATCTACTATTCCATATTAGAAACCCCCACCATCACCTCAACTGAACGACCAGAAAGTTAATTTTTTTGTTTATTTAGCTACTAGACATTTTATATGGCCACCCATATGAATGCTGGGCAGTTAACAACAACAAAACAAACACAATATAAATAAATCTCTAAGATTTGTTCAAACTCCAGCAAATGACACCGCATTAAAACAGTCATAATATGATTACTAGGCTCCATAAACTGCTTCTCACACACTCCATACCTATATTGGTCTGACTCCTTATTCTTGCCCAATGCCTGGGAGAAAAATCAGATCTTCACAGTCTTCTGGAAGCCAAGATGGTTGGGACCCTCCCAATCTGGGGATTGAGAGCGGTGGTGGTGGTGGTGGTGGTGGTGGTGGTGGTGGGTGCCATTCTACTGGACAGGTTCTGCAACGTAACCTCTCCTCCCCTTCCTCTCCCCCTTTAAACAAAGGTGTGCATAATGGAGTTTAGGAACAGTTAACTTATGAATACATGAAACTAATTATAATTCATAAACAGCTCTTTGTTTTACTATAACGTGCATCCTATAGTAAATATGGAACTCTATGATGATTGAGGAGATTTCTGTAACTGGTAAACTGGAACCAGAAGAATATATTCAATTAGAATTTATGTACAATATATCTGTGTGGAAAAATAAGATTTTCCTGAAAAGGACAAGATGCCCAGTTTGCTCCAAATTTTTAAAAGTGTATATGTGTGTGAGGGAGAAAGAGAAAGAGGGAGGGAGGGAGGGAGGGAGGGAGGGAGGGGGGGACCATAGATTATTAATGAACTATTCTTTTGAACAGCATGGGTCCCAAATAAGCAAAGTTTACTGAACTAATTTCTAAATAAATTTTAGAGTAAGAAGATTTAGATTAAGAAAATAGGCAAATATATGAAATGAATTAAGAACTTTGTGTTACTTGGAAAGTAACACAAGGCATACACACATACGCATATTTTAAAGTAAGCACCCATTCTTAATTCATTCTGCATGTTTGGCTACTCTTAAATCAGTAGATGATAGTATAGTAAGATTATAATCATACATCTAATGATCTGGAGACAAATTCTATTGAACTTTATGAGACTGCTTTGTAGATAAGGATGCTTATAATTATAAGAATGTTTATTTTTTTGTGCGTGTATTGTTTTCCATGTGCAAATCAATGTAAGCTATAGAATATACTGGCAAAGATGTATGGATTCCTGAAACTTGAAAAGTGAGTTGCTACGTACACATGATGCAGGGTTGAATTATAATTTGCACGAAACCATAATTATTTATCTTGAGAAGAAAAACATGAGGACACCATATCCATCTTATTCCTTGTGTATCTATGCTAAGAAATAAGAAAATTAAAACGTTGGGATTTAGTTTTGTCTATAAGCCTACTAAAATATTAGGTGTATATAATCAGGAAAAGTACTTTATGGAATTTTTTGCTTTAATTTAAAACAAACAGCCACACTAAATTCTGGAGGCGAGCTTTGATTCAAATAAAACTCCAAATAAGATGCTCTTTTTACAGCTCTGGATGGAATCCTGTTAATTCTAATCTGACCTGATATGTTTTGGCTGGTTTCTTGAAGATGTTTTGCAAATCAGATTTGTTTATAAAACACTCCAGAAAAATGAGCAAAGAAACCTAATATTCCTGACATGTGTCCATAGAACTTTTTGCTTCTAAGAGTTCCTTTCTTGCGCTCCACTGTGATCATTGGAGGAACTGATTGCTGCAATTGCACAAGGGTGACAATTGCTCAGAGAAACTTGTCTCTAAGCTGTATTGGGATTGAGGCCATCAGTATTTTCCAGGCTGTGTGCCAGGGAATAAAAGGATGGCTCATAATAAAGCCATGTGAGAGTCACTGTTCAATGTCAGCCAAGAAAGGAAGATTTAATAATGGATGACCCCTTTGTGCTGCTAGGCTTGGAGAATATCCCTCCATAAAGATTTAGCTACTGGTATTTAGCTCTAAAGGGGATCTTATAGGGCAGTGGTGGTGAACCTATGGCACGTGTGCCAGAGGCGGCACTCAGAGCCCTCTCTGTGGGCACGTGCGCCATTGCCCCAGCAGAGTTCGCCAGAGTAGCAAGCACGTGGCGTTTGGAAACGACAGGGCAGGAAGTGAGCAAGCGGCGTTGGCCCCCCTGGGGATGCCCCAGAGATGGCAAGGGACTGGCCCCCGCCGCCCTGGCCCCAGCCACACTCACCCAGTCTGCGGTGATCACTGCAACCACACCCACCCAGTGGGCCACGCCCCCGCCCTTCCTGAGGGCACCAGAAAGCTGATGCAGCCCTGGCACTTTGCGATAAATAAGTGGGTTTTGGGTTGCCGTTTGAGCACTCAATCTCTAAAAAGTTCGCCATCACTGTTATAGGGTGCAGGGGCAATGGAAGTTGCCTCCAACTCTTAGGATGGCAGTCGCTTCAAATTTGAATATATTCAAGCTCGCAAAACTAGTCTTATAAACTAGAATGCCAAGATTTATTTTCAAACATGTGGTCTCCTGATTTTCTGTTTATGGGATTATTGGAATCACTAGAAGTATCATAAAGGAAAGCAAATTATGTTTGCAAAGGATACAATAAAAAGCAAGGATGTAAAGTGAGGTTAGAAAATATTCCAATTCGAGATCTTTCAGAGTTCAAGAAAGAGTTTGGAACTGGGATTGCTTACAATCAAACTGGGAAATCATGAAAAATTAAAAACCAGTGGAGAGTTGCTGAAGCAGACTCAAAAGAATTGAATTCATAGGCAATTCCAGTTTCGATTATCTGATGCTGCATTATGATTTACTGACAAACCCTTACTGGATCTTCCACAGCTAAGATAGTACAGATGATGCCAGTCATGCTTTGTTTAATTTATCACCTGAAACTGGAATTGTGGCTTAGTTCTTTTCAAACAATCCAGAGTTGGTGGTAGGGGTAACAGGAACAAGGAAGAGGCAGAGGTTTCTGCAGATAGCCTTGATAACAGGCAAAGGACGAAACATGTCATGCCATTACAATCCAAGTTCTGCCTTTTTGGGTACATAAATCGTAAGGGGTGGAGTTTGTACATACACACTGCATTACTTCCCTCCCCTTTGTATGCACAAGACCATGCATGACAGGAGAAACTATCATTCTCCTTTATGACTGACCTGAATACTGTATATGTGTGTGTTGTATTAAAGGTAATATCTCCTTTGAGTTAAGCTTGACTCCTGGGATTAAATTTCTTGGCAGCAGCATGAAAAATGGTTCGCTTTTGCCTTCCTCTAAGATATTTTTCAATCTCCCAGAGTAACCTATGCCCTTGACATTTCCTAATAGTCACCCATCCATGTACTAGCTAGATTTGGCCCTGCTTAGCTTTTGAACCCAGATAAGGTCAATTAAGTGCTGCCACCTTTTGCAGTAAAAAGGGGGGAAATACTGTCAAATATGAGCAGCAAAACAGCCCGTAATTTGTATTTTATGAAATAAGATTTATGAGATAGGGCTTGACATGGAAGCCCAGGATTATTAATGACAGCTGAAGCAGAGACGTGACTAAAAGCTTGGAGTAATAAATGCTGAGAGAATGATTTGGCACTAATGCTTCCCCCACCCATGGTTTTTCAGAGCAGCGCCATTTTTTCATTTGCGAACAACATAGCTTTATTGATGCATCTGGGAGGAAAAGGTCCCTGAGATCATGACACAATTCCCATCCCCATTAATCTTGTCCTCCTAGAAAGTTTGGGAGGAGCCACAGGAAACTTAATTCATTCTCTTTTCCCAGACAGCTAATCAGTCGGGGTTTGGTTGAAATTGAGGTTTTTATCTCCACAGGCTGCTGTATTTCTCCAGTTTCATATCCTGCGAGGTATTTTTTTTCTCAGTGCCACCATTAATTTGCCATACCCTGCATTTCTATTCTTTTTCAGTTCTTACGGTCTTTAATGTTAAAATGCAAGAGCCCCAACGAAACATGAGATAAATTAGATTAGACTATTGACAACGTATAAATACAAGCAGTCCTCGACTTAACGACCACTGTTGAGGCCGAAACTTATGTTGCTCAGTGAAACATTTGTTAAGTGAGTTTTGATCCATTTTATGACTTTTCTTGCCACAATTGTGAAGTGAACCACTGCAGTTGTTAATTTAGTAACATCGTTTTTAAGTGAATTGAATTTGCCCATGGACTTTGCTGGTCAGAAGGTTGCAGAAGGGGTCACGTGACCCTGGGATGCTGCAACCGCCATAAATATGAACCAGTTGCCAAGTGTCTGGATTTTGATCACATGATTACAGGAATGCTGCAGCGGTCGTAAGTGTGAAAAATGGTCAGAAGTCCCTTTTTTCGGCACCGTTGTAACTTTGAATGGTCATTAAGTGTAAGTCGAGGACTACCTGTATTATGTTTTACTTTTGCCTTTATGGATTGCAATTGCAGTTTGTTAGAGGGATCATGGTTCTTCAGCATTTACGGCTAAATGTAGCATCATAATTGCTATGGTATAACTTCTAATTGGTTGCAGATATCTCACTATCACTAACATTTCTGTAATGCTAAAGGAGGCATGTTATTATGTAGATCCTGCTTGAACTAAGCTGATGAAAATTAAGCATTTTACTCTTAGCATCATAACAACTCTTTGGGGGAAAAAAACCCTTGGCTTTAAAGATAACATGTACAATTTAAAAATAAATAAAACTGAAGATTGTAAACCATGACTTTATAGCATATTATAATAAGCAAACCTGGCCAAAAATAATGTTACTGATTTTGGCTTAGCATAGTGCTTGAACGTAACCTATTAGGATTATTTATCAATTCATGATTAAAAAGCAATAGTTTAATATGAGGGAATCAGATCATTTTGTACATATCTTAGCCAGGAGGCATTATGAAACTGATTTCATTATCCATTGCTTTGAAACAAAAATTTCTTGTCAAATTTCTGCATCTTAATACTTAAGGTGAATCTGTTTCTAGGGAACTGGAAACCTGGATTCGTATTTCACCTTATTTCATGGACTGCCTCACCAAAATTTGATATCACAAAAGAAAGGATGGAGTAGAGAGACTTTGCCTTGAAAATAGTTGCTGCTGTAGTAAGATTTTACCCTCTGGCACACTTTGTTCAAGGACCCAACGACAAAAGCTGCAGGAAGTATGGATCAAATGTTTTTTGTTCACCAATAAATGTTCCCCTTATAGAAAATGAACAGCAGAGGATATCTGGAATCTATAACTTGGAAGCTGGGAGATCTCTGTTTTATTTCTATCATTTTTAACAAAGAGTCCCACACTTGTAGGAAGTATGTGAGGAATTTGACAAGGGACAGGAAGAAAGATAACATGTTAGATCACCAGGTGATTTCTGTATGTGCATAAGATACATAGTGTCCGTGTCCCCAATATTTTGGACTTCATGAACTTAATTGCTCATATGATTAATATTTCTTGCAATGGGCAGGGGTTGCCAAAGAACTAAGTTGCAATATTGGAAAGATAAATTAACATTTGGCATACAGTAGTGGAGAATGGATGGATGGATGGATATTTTGTCAAAGTTTAAACTGATTTTCTTTGCAATTACATATTACCATGAATTTTTTTTCTCCTCTAATTGCATATTACATAGGGCATTTACAGCTGTTACCCTCTAAATATATCAGACTTAGTATTTATATTTTTTGTTGTACTGGCAATATTTTGTAAATGGAATAAAACAAAAAATAAACAGCCAAATTTGAAAGAGGGTGTACAAGCTGTATCAGGAAGCAGGAGATGAGATGTGATGGGTGTTATATTGTCTATTAAACAACTTATGCCTCTGCTGTTCCTCTCTCTGGTGCCATCATCTTCCTTTATCTTACCTTCCTCCCCCCCCCATTTGATTGCAATTCTATCTTCAGCCTTATTAGAACACTTTGTAAACATTAATTAAAACCCATATTTTTCCACAGATGAGAATTAGACATAACTGACACACACAAGACGTATTGTGTCCATGGGTGGCAATGCATGCTGAGCCTCAGGAAACAGGCTGACATAGCAGTGCTGATATACCTTTGCACTGACAAGCCATCGGCTTCAGGCTTTCTGACTGATCATAACTACCTCCCCTTCATCTGTGTTTTGTTTCAGTTTGTTTTTTTCATTGAATGAGGAGGAGGAAGAATGATTACTAAGTATTTGAATGAAAAATTCTCCATCCAAAGAAGCAAGAAAAATAAAAGTGAAAGATATGTCAGTGGCCATGTTTTCAACCCTCCCATATTAAGATTCTATTCCTCAGATGGATCACAACCTTCCTTGGGTTGTTCTGGTAAAAAGTGTCCTTTTCCTCCATATTTAACCTTTCTCTCAAAGTGAGGTTTAGAGCCAATAGCAAATGGGGGCCCGTAGCAGCCAAGAATGTGTTCATTTAAGCACAATACCATTGCAAGTCCAGATTGCCCTCTGGGTCAGGAGGATTTATAACTGGGACACCTCTCCACACATTACTTGTGATATTGCATTTAGTTAAGCTCCTCAACAGTGACTTTTATGTCATATCAAAAAGCTGTTGGCACTTCCCTATAGCATGATGATCGCTGTGGAAATTGCTACAGGCTGAACTGTAGTGCAAACTTCCACCCTCTTTTCTTCACCCACCTAGTATAAATCTCTCCTGGATGTGTGTCCTCCAGTTTCATGCTTGTTTATATAAATGAGCAATTTGCTAACGCATTTCTTAATTTCTCCATGAAGATGGAGGCATTCACATTTTTCTTAAGAATATCTTCTCTTTAAGAAAGGAACTGCTGCCTGTTTCTCATGACAGCTAGCCCTAATCTGGGTGCTATAGAATTGCCTACAGCTGGCTGCCTTGAATTACCTAGCCATGAGGGTGGACCACAGCTGCAGATGTCAAACAATGAACAATAGGAATAGTATAACTGCAGCATTTTAGCAGCTTACCAAGAAAGAAGGAAGATTCAGGGAGAGATGAAAGTACGATGTATCCAGGGTGTTACTGGGGGAAGATATACCTGGGGGAGTAGGGGCCCATCTCCCATAACCTGATTGGCTGGCTGGCATGCTTGAAAACAGAGAAGCAAGCCTCTCCACACCAGTTCAGTTTTTCCTTGTTTCCTCTGCCCTTGATTTCCTAGTCATGAGAGGTGGTGGCAATACAAATTGGATAATGGTGATGGCTTCAGCACTGACCATGTTTTGCGCCAATGCAAAGAACACAGAAGAGCACGGCTTACCTGGAGAGAAACACAAAGCCAATCCAAGTCCAGAAGAAGAACTGGGTGTCTGCCAGATTTATGCAGAAAGTAAGTATTGCTTCTCTGTAGAAGCTTGTAGAATTATGTGGTGGGGAGAGAAAATGAGAGTATTATAGGACGAGAGAGTACAAAATATCTATAATATGGATGATGTTGATGATGATGATGATGATGATGATAATTGCAAGGCCACCCGACTCCACAGCAAATGTGGGTGCCTTACAATTAAAATCCTGAAAACAAGATAAGTCAAAGAAAACTAATATAACTGATGAGTTGCTGGGAGTCTGTAACCTGATTTTGACTGTGTTCATCTGGCATACATCTTCCTTGGTCTGGGCTGCAATTGTTGGAGGGACAGTTTGCAGAAGGCTAATACTATAGCTACTCTCACTCCAAAGAAATGGAGATGTTGACAGATCATTTCTTTCTATAGATGCCTGTTGCTCACCAGAAGTTGCCCAGGAACTTTCCAAAGCCCATGCTGGATCTTGGAATGGCTGTGGAAGCCTCAGCAATAGGTCAGCCCTTCCTCTGCTCTTCTGCAAAAAAAAAAAAAAAGAGGACCCCTCCCGTGTCAGTCATGGGCCCCTATGGGTTGTGGAGCTGGGCCCTGTTTCATGACTTTTCCTCAGCCAGCCTTACTGATCAAGATGGCGGGAGTTGATGCCTGGCTTGCTTTTTATCCCTGCATCTTAGGGTTAATATTTATGCCTGCTGTTGTTTCATTCCTTTTGGCAGTTGTGAAGCGTACTTTCGGCAACTGGATTGTTTTTACCACTGCTCCCCCATTGCTGCTGAATGGACTCATCCTCGACAACTCATAGCCTTGATGGCTGTGCCTCTCTGCCAGAGTTTCTGTGACCAATGGTAAGTTATCACATGTCTCCACATCTAGAAGAGGCCATCCTGATAGGGAAGAAGAATTAAGTATAATTACTGTTGAAGGTAAAAGACACTAGAGAAACTTAACAAGAAGCTCTGTCTTCTTTTCTATAACTGAAAGCATTGGGCTAACCTGAACCACGAACCTTTACCTGCTAATTTGAAAAGAAGAGACCGTCTTTCGGAAGAGATACACATATTTAAGGTCATTATTTAGATAAGTGTTATTTAGGATTACCGTGTTTGGGCTGCAAAAATCTGGACAAGCATTAAATGGCAGCAAAGAAGATATTTGCTACCATCTATGAGACAAACAGATATAATAGCCTGATTTAGTAATTTTAAATTATTAAAAAATTGAGAGAACTAGTGTCCTATTCTCTATTGGTTCAGCCCTGTTTTAGGGGAAATATATTTTTAAAAGTTAAAAAACTTTTTTTCCTCCAACAAGGTAACACATTCCATTCTGGAAAATCAACATCGGGCAAGACCGATGATTTAGCTGTGGAAATTTGACTTGGATAGCAAGGGAAAACAAATGTTGTTTGGAGAACATTCTCATTCTTTTGCTTTTATTATTTTGTTAGCCAATGTGATAAAGTATAATATTTAAAAAGTGAATAAATTTGTGGGGTAGGGTGCTCAGAGGACGGCAAAGAAGCTATCAGCAATTAATAAAAGTTAACCCAGGAAGTAAAAAGATGTTGGCTTTTTTGGGTTGAATATAAAAATTGGAGGTCCCTTCCTGAACTGAAAAGGATGGGGGTTACCCCAGGAAATTTCAAATTCAAATTTCTAGTTTATCATAAAATATCACTGAGTAAATTGTGTTGAGTCAAATGCCAATGAGCTGTCTTTCTTAGCACTCAGACTTATTATCCACTCAGGTACAATGCTTGCAGAGAGGATCTGACCTGCCCTGGCAACTGGCCCGGGGGAGCTGATGAACATAACTGCAGTCAGGAATGTCAGTCCTTTGGCCAGGTGAGACACTAAAGGTGCTGTGAGCAGAACCATCCCTTCGGTTGCATGCTTTTCTGGCCAAGGGCCACTTTGCTGAAGATAACATTACAAAAAGGAGGCAAAGCCAAGGCAAAAGGGAAATTGGACCAGAACAAACGAACATACAATTTAATTAAAACCACTTCTGGTGATTAATCTCTTTCAGCTTAACAGTTTGCCCCTTCAGAAGTGTCAGGGGGTGGGGGGGTGGCATGGGGGATAAAGGTACAGATATCTTGGCTTATGGAGTAGAGGAGTTTCAAAAATACAGAAACCCTAATTCCAGAATTCAAACAAATGTTTTTAAAATTTGTACGTATTGGATGAGATCATGGCATGTTTCTAGGAGGGAACATATGGCGTATGTTTGTGCAGGGCCTGAAAATGATGCGTAGGCTGTGGCTTCCGAAACTGAAGCAAGTTTGGGAAGAGTAACTGTGGAAAGTGGGGAGAAAAACAGGAACTGCATTTTCCTGAAAGGCACACACTAAAAACCAATCTAAAGATTTCTGTGTTAATAATAACACTTGCTCCATACAGTTTGAGGATATTTTAACTCATGCGATTTTTATAGCAAAACTTGCTTTTTTCTCAAATCTGAATGATTTCCAGCTTTGAAGGAAAAAAAAATCAAAGTATTCTCAGAGGGTAGGGAAATAGGAAATGGGAAGAAAAGAAAAAATGCCAGATAAAGTCAAATATTTTTAAGAAAATGTCTTCTTCCTGCAGGTTGTTTTCAGTTTCCCACAGCCTGGCAATTCCCAATCATCTCCATGAATTCTTATTACATACACTTAGTTTACATATAATTAGCTTACGATGTATACGAATAGCTTGTGTGACGGAAAAATCGGCCACTTTTTCCAAGTGGCAAATTCAAATGAAAAATACCTGAAAGTTAAAGCTTATATAGCAGTAACAACTTCCTTATTGTTGCTAACTCCTTGCCATAATTGTGTTTGTTTTCTTGAAATATTGTGGAACTTAGAAAGCAACAATTTAATCTTTGGTTATAAACAAATATACAGGATTGGAATAATTATTTACCATGAAATATAGAGACTGAGATTATTTTCTACTGACCTCACTAAAAATGATTGGATTGTCTCTTTCAACAACATATAGCTTGTATACTGAAATAGAAATGCAGGCAAGAGCTTGTCTTGAAGCTAATAGAAAAGATACATTTCTTAGAAAGGGGTGATGGCTGATGGCCATTTTATGGATTCACCTGCCACCTTTAATCTTTTTCTTCCCCAAGAAAGTATCTGTGCAACATTAGTAAATGAAGTGTCTTTAATGTTATGAAGCCTATCATAGTATACCCACACAGAAGTATCACTTATATTCTACACAAGGGATAGAATAATCACCATTATGGACAGGAACATGACTTCCTGAAAAAATTAAGTCACAATGGTTCTCATTTTTAGAAATCAAGCCATGTCCTCTGGATCATGCATTTGGGGGGAAGACTACAATACTTTTCATATTCCTAAGTTTCCAAACTTCAGAATCCATTCCAGTTGCTTTCAAACCTGAATGGGGTTAGAGTCGTGCCTCCCGAGGAAGAAGTCCTTTGTAACACGGGACCTCTTTTTTCCCTTAGATGTATAAGGATGGCAAGGAGCTGTGTGAGAACATCTGGGACGATGCTTTCATAGTAAGCACCGACCTTTGCCAATGCCTGATGCTGGATGCCTCTGACACAGCCTTCTCCACCTCTTATTCTCACCTCAAAGACAGCAACAGCCTAAAAAAGGTAGGCATCAACAAGGCACGCAAAGAAAGAAAAGATCGTGTGAGCCCTTGCAGGGGCAATCTTTTACTTCAGCATCTGAGAAGGAATCTGCAGAAACGTTCTATTTTCGTGGAAGACATGGAGGGAAGTGGAAGTGGATTCTAATCCAAGGCAACCATCCTCCAGAAGAAAAAAAGCCCCCTCTCCAGTGATTGCCTGGGGCTTGGGGGGATCGCTTGTGATCTATGCAATTCTGTTACATCCCATACTATCAGCTTCCTGCCATCTTCTACAACTGTATGCATCTCATGGCGTAGTAGACTGTGAATCTGGCACCTTCTAGGACTCTGAGCCCTATGCCCTAGCATTAGACCATTAGGGCACCTCTTAGGAACTTGCCTAGAACCAAGTTTTCCCCAAATACTCAGAGTAGAAATGGAATTAGAGAACAATAAGCATTTCCCTCTCCATATTCTTCATGTTCTAAGAGCTGGCTCAAGGAAGAGTCATCATAGAACGCAAAAGGCCATTCAAGAGCATTAGCTGAAGGGAAAGCAGCCTTCATAGGCATTAGCTGAAGGAAAATATCTGCAAGGGAGAGAACAAACAAGTGGCAGGAGGTGGTGGTTGCTGAGTGAAATAATCAGTGCTGGAAAGGTTAGCCTCAGTTGTTGCCATGGCTTCAAATACAATTGTAAGTAGGACTCAAGTAAAATGGAAGGATCTTCCTGAGCTCAAAAAGAAAAGGGGAAATAGGGGAAGTTAGATTTGAGACCAGTATGGCTGACTTTCCTGTTGCATTTGTGTGCTAGAAAGCAATAGTTACTGAGGGACCAGCATTGCTAGGTTACTTAAACTGGATTACATCCAAAATTAAATTTATTTTTCAAAGCAACCCAATCTGAGAGGGCTGGACAGACAGAGAGAGGTTGCAAAAGAGCAAGATTATGTAATAAACAATCCCTATGTCAAGGAAAAGGTTTCAAACACTTGGATAATGTACATAGCATCTAAACCGAAGTTATATGCCAGTCAGAAACACATCTAATCAATGGTGGCAGTGAGACTCCAAGAGTTGTTGTGCTTTTGCCCCTCACATCTTTAAGTAGTGCTCCTTGAGCTTCATCCACCAACTATTCTCTCCACTCTAAACACTATACAAATCTCCCTTATAATATTGTACACCCAAAACAGACCCATCTCTGTCTGTCCATCCATCCTCATTTATCAGCTGCATTTCACATTCCTGTTTACCTTGGTTACGCTTACCGCAAATTTCATATTATGGATTGATTCAAACCTGATAATATTATGGGGAAATTAAAAAAAAATGGAGTGCGTGTTTGTGTTTTATTATGAGTGTAAAAAAATCAATGTAGAGGACTGAATCTTAGTGATTATTCTAGAATACACATATATAGTTCTGAAAAGAAGAATATCTGCTCAATTTATTGTACATCAGATAAAAGAGGATTAGTAATATGAAACCTTGCCAATACTCTCCTGGTGCAAGAGCTTATGGGAAACCAGCATTTCTTTAAGAAATTGTATATTCCACACTCCCCAAAGGTTGTTACTAAAACAGGTAGGATTTGACCAGGGAAACAGCCAACCTGGTTAAATGTGTAATGACATTATAGACAATGGCAAATTAAACAGAAACATGGTAAAAATGTCTATTCATAGTTCAAAACATCCCTTTTTGATTTTTCACAAAATATAGTGACTAGTTACACACTACATGAAGGCATACCAACATCTGGGCAACTGGCATTATAGTAAAAGCATTTTTGAAATGACACATAGGATATTAATATAATGTAATTAATGTAAATAACTTGTCTTTTTTCCATGGTTCCACAATCAAGAGGCCATTCACATATTGTTGAATTACAACTCCCAATGTATCTCACCATTATCAATGCTACCTGGAGCTGCTGAGAATCAAACAGCATCTGCAGGCCACAAGCTTATCTATTTATGGACTATACTAAGCTTTCAAGATTGGATTATATAACTCTGAAATAGGATTGTTATGTCCTGCTGAGGAGGCCATGTAATATCACTGCCAAGGAGAATACAATATGACTTAGCCTCTGAGGAAAGGGAAAGGAGATGGAAAGCCTGGAAATTAATTTAGATAAGAAGGGAGGATGGATAGTCAAACACAAGTACACTAATATTCTTTTATGTCAAAAGAGGCTTGGTACAGAAGCAAATCTTCAAGGCTCTTGAAGAGAAATGAAAGGAACTTGTTCAAAGAGGGGTAAGAATGTCTTAAAATAGAAAAAAACATGCTAAGCTTTCAGAGAGGAAAGAGATGAGGAACTGAAATAGGAGCATGTGCAAACTTGGAAGACAAAATGGAATTATATACGTCAAAGGAGTGACGGCTGGAGAGAGAACACATTATTAAAGGGCTGGTATGTGCAAGTTTACTCTCCTCCACACTGAGGAGTGTCCTATTAGTGCCAAGCAACAGCAGTAAAGCAATATTTCAATGGTGCTTCCTTTAGGTTTCTTAACAACCCCGTAAAGGGGATAATTATGGTGCCAGGAGATGGGTTGAAAGATCAGCAAAACAATTTATGATTTAAGTGAAATTTCAAACAGGGACCTCATTTCAGTTTCATGATCATGAATAGTTCTTTCAACCTTTGATCTTTTCCAAACAGTAGCCCAACTTCACTTCAGGGATATCAAAACTGGACAAAAAATGTTCTACAAAAGAAGTCTTAACTAAGAATAGTTTCCTGGTATTTTATTTCTATTTTAAATAGAAATAATTTTCATTAATTTCATTATGTAGCCTAGCTTTATTTTTATTTATATATATCAGGGCCATTAAGCCCATTGTTTGCTATCGGCATTTTTTCCAAGACACCGAAAATAAAATAGATCTATTATTATATATATTATTTGAAATAAGGGAAACAATTTAGTTGCCATTTTTTGGGAAAGGCTATCCCATTTGTATTTATTCAATCGTCTCCCTATTATTCCAATTCCCCGTGATTGTCCTGATAAGTTTATCTTCCATTCAATCTGTTCTTCTTTCTCAAATTTCTTCTGATTTCTATAAAAAGTCTTTTCCATTTTCAGTGTTGTCACTCCCTTTTGTGGATTTTCCATTAACTGTATTTGTTGGTCAATTGAGTCCTCTGTCTTAGTATTTGATTGTTCCACATTTTCTGTTATCTTCTGCATTGTTAGTTCTTCGGTTGTAATCAAAATTTAGATTTGTGTATCTAAGCTGGCATCTTGTTCTTTTATATTGGGTCTTAATAATAATAATAATGATAAAGTTGGAAGAGACCTTGGAGGTCATCTAGTCCAACCCCCTGCTCAGGCAGGAAACCCTATACCATTTTGGACAAATGGCTGTCCAGTTTCTTCTTAAAAACTTCCAATTTGGAGCATTCACCACTTCTGGAGGCAAATTGTTCCACTGATTAATTGTTCTGTCAGGAAGTTTCTCCTTAGTTCCAGGTTGCTTCTCTCCTTGATCAGTTTCCACCTGTTGCTTCTTGTCCTGCCTTCAGGCGCTTTGGAAAATAGTTTGACTCCCTCTTCTTTGTGGCAACCCCTGAGATATTGGAACACGGCTATCATGTCCCCTCTCGTTCTTCTCTTCATTAAACTAGACATACCCAATTCCAGCAACCATTCCTTATGTTTTAGCCTCCAGTCCCCTAATCATCTTTGTTGCTCTTCTCTGTACTCCTTCTAGAGTCTCAACATCTTTTTTACATCGTGGTGACCAAAACTGGATGCAGTATTCCAAGTGCGGCCTTACTAAGGTATTAATACTTCACGTGATCTTGATTCTATCCCTCTGTTAATGCAGCCTAGCACTGTGTCGGCTTTTTTAGCAGCTGCAGCACACTGCTGGCTCATATTTAAATGATTGTGACTCCGAGATCCCTCTCACAGTTGCTATTATTGAGCAAGGTACCCCCTATACTATACCTGTACATTTGGTTTTTCTTGCCTAAATGTAGAGCCTTACTTTTTTCACCATTGAATTTCATTTTGTTAGATAGCGCCCAGTGTTCAAGACTGTCAAGATCCTCCTTTATCCTAAGCCTGTCTTCTGGAATGTTGGCTATTCCTGCCAGCTTGGTGTCGTCTGCAAATTTGATGAGTTCTCCATCTATCCCCTCGTCCAGATCGTTGATGAAGATGTTGAAGAGCACTGGGCCCAGAACAGAGCCCTGGGGCACCCCACTACACACTTCCCTCCATGTAGATGCGGTTCCATTGAGGACCACACGCTGAGTACAGCCGATCAGCCAGCTACGGATCCATCTGGTGGTGATGCTGTCTAACCCACATTTTTCTATCTTATCAAGTAGTAAGTTGTGATCTACTTTGTCAAATGCCTTACTGAAGTCCAAGTAAATTATATCCACAGCATTCCTCTGGTCCACTAATTTTGTCACTTGGTCAAAGAATGCAATAAGATTTGTCTGGCATGATCCGTTTTTGACAAACCCGTGTTGGCTTTTAGTAATGACTTTGTTTGCCTGTAGGTGTTCGCTGATTCGTTGTTTGATTATCTTTTCCAGAATCTTCCCAGGTATTGAGGTCAGGCTGATAGGTCTGTAATTTCCTGGGTCCTTTTTTCCCCTTTTTTGAAGATGGAAACTACATCAGCTCTTTTCCAGTCCTCTGGTAGTTCCTCAGTGCTCCAGGATCTTTGAAAAATATAGTTCAGTGGTTCTGAGATCACATTTGCCAATTCCTTGAGAACCTTGGGGTGTAATCCATCTGGTCCTGGTGATTTGAACTTGTCTAGGCTGGACAGGTGTTCACTTACCATTTTCTTGCCTATCTTAACTTGTATTTCTATTTTGTTTTTTATGGCACTATTTTTGATAGGTTGGTCTGTTTTTTCCCTTTGTATAAAGACAGATGCGAAAAACGAGTTAAATAGTTCTGCTTTCTCCCTGTTGCTTGTCACCTTCTTGCCACTTTCACCCACTAATGGACCAATCGTTTCCTTCACTTTGTTCTTGTTTTTTACATGTTGAAAGAAGCTTTTTTTGTTATTTTTGACTTTGGTTGCAAGCCTTAGTTCATTTTGAGCCTTAACTTTCCTCACTTCGTCTTTGCAGGCTCGGGCTATTTGCTGATATTCTGACTTAGTTATATGTCCCTCTTTCCACTTTCTATACTTGTCCTTTTTATCTTTCAGTTGATCAGAGAGTTCTTTATGCAGCCATGTGGTTTCTTTTGAAAGCTGTTATTTTTCCTTTTTGTTGGTATTGTGCTAGACTGGGCCTTTATTATCTCTCTTTTCAAAATTTCCCAAGCCTCTTGAGTTGTTTTTCCCTGGAGGATTCTCATCCATGGAATCCTTCCCAAACCCTCTCTAAGTTTATTGAAATTAGTTCTCTTGAAGTCCAAGACTCTAGTTTGATTGTGTTCTACTGCTTGTGCTTCCATAATGTTGAATTCCAATACTGCATGATCACTTCCTCCCAAGGTTCCAATGGCTTCAACAGAAGCTGAAAGAATGGTTTCATGTATTGCTTTCAACATGGAAAGGATCTTTTCCTGGTCTTCATCCATATTCTCTTAATAATGTTAAGTTGAGGACTTTAAAATCAGACGTTAAAATAATTTTATAACTAGGTATGGGACCTTTATTTCACATGTTTATAGGTAGACTTTATCGTAGCAGTCATTTGTCAAGTAAGATTTTATAGTCCAAAGCAGTGGTTCTCAACCTTTTTAATGCTGCGACCCCCCAACTGGTCGTAAGTCAAGGACTATTCAACAGGTCGTAAGTCGAGGACTATTCAACTGGTGCAGCACCGTTTGCAGAATGGGACTTTTGGTGGGCTCAGCAGGGCAGAGACAGCCTGGACAATTCCTATTGGCTTTTGAAAGCCAATAGAATTAGACTCCATTCAAGAGAGCCTATTCTATTGGCTTTCAAAAGCCAATAGAATAAAAGGGAGTAACACAGCTAAGGAAAAGGGGAAAAAAAATGGCGGACTGCGTTGTTTGGCGACCCCAGTGAAATGGTTGTTTGACCCCAAATGGGGTCCCGACCCACAGGTTGAGAACCACTGGTCCAAAGTATTTCATTATCTCATATAATAACCAATGTTCCTCAAATAAAGAGATAGGGCGGTAATTCCCCACATATAACTGAAAGTCAGTAAAAGTTTACATTCATAGTTCAAGCAAGCCAGTTATGTTGCCCAGAAATTCTCTTTACAGCTGAGTTTCTCACAGATGATATTCAGGGTCGAAAGAGTTTTATCTGTAGTCTGGGCTTCAAGCCAAGTCCCTTTTAGGCAACAAGTTGTAATACCAAACTTTGCCACAA